CTACTAGGAGCAAAGACGCTACTAGAGGCTCTTGGCATCGCTACTAGTAGCATTACGTCTTGAAACCTTGCAGGTCGGCATGCTCCAAGTGCCGAACTGAGTAGCCTAACTGCCATATATCGCTTGCCAACACCAGCGTCAGTGCCTCGGAGTCAGAGACTCAAACAGAAGTGGGCAACTACGGCAACGGTGTGGGCTTTTCTACTGAAGTATGCTAAGTGCCAATCAGCAATGGCAGTTGACTTGATGAGCTCGTGAATGATGGCAAAGACTTTCTGCAACCTTTGGTGCAAATGTCTTCTCGTTGCTTCTTCGATAAAAACCAAGTTACTTGCTCCATGAGCCGTCGAAAGTTCACCACGAAACCACGACCTTCGAGGTCCAGGAACCAGAAGAACGAGCTGATTGAGGAAATGCGTGGTCTCAAAAGATAGGATTTAAAAGAACGGTAATAACGGTGTGCGGTTTTCTCAGGAGTTGACGCAAGAAGGTCTCCTTGGTTGTTTTCTCTTTGCTCACTCTCCTGAGCCTGGTAGACAGACGATGACAAACACAGGCCCAGTTAGCTTCTTGTTACTAGTAGCATCTAGTAGCGATGCCCTTGTTACTAGTAGCTTCTGTCCTAACAACTTACGGCCTGGTGACGGTTTTGTCTTCCTCCGTCAGGAGAGATGCACTGTGCCTTGTCTGAAACAGACCTCAGATGCAGAACCAAACAGCAAATGCCTAGGTCTCTGTTTGCATTAAGGGCCTGTTCCAGGTTTCCGCAGATCGCCTCCGGCTCCACAGGTTCCTGCAGTTCTGCAACCCAAAGTTGAACCACTGAAGGTTTAGTTTAATGACAAAGTCCGCTCTTCCTTGCCTTCCCAAGGCATCCCTCATTTTTGTAGAGCTGAACTCAATGGTCATAAGTGCTTGCTCTGAATTCCAGAAGCATGCATTTTGGAAATGTCTTGCTCTGGTGGCCTCATCGTCCAAAACACACAGGTCATTGTTGTTCATGACCAAATCTATCTACATTAATGAGTCTGCTCTAGCTCAAGCGGCTAGCTTACGGCCAAAAAAAGGTACATACTGTATACTGAAAGGGTGCATTCTTCCAGCGGCGCGGAATGACAATTCTTTCACCGGCGCAAGGTCTCGGCAATGCGATCCTCCAAATCTGCCAACAGTGATGCCCATGCAGCACAGCGTTCTACCCCTGTCTCGCAGGCACGTAGTTCTCTCTTGAGCTCGCGCTCTTCAGCCTGTAGCTGCCGCAACTCATCCAATCCTCCCAAGCGACCAGAGCTTTCGCTGCTAGTAGTGCGTCTGGACATCTCGGAATGCCTGGATTTCTCCACTTCCATGGACTTCTCCTCCTTTCTGGCCTTCCTCTCCTTTCGCTTCTGATGAATGGTGAAAGGAGTGGTGTTTCTGCAAGCTTCCAGGATCTGCAAATCTCGCTTACACTTTCGAACTAAAGATTTCAGGTGCCTCTTGCTCGCGTTGAGCTCATGAAGCAGTACATTGGCTCTTTGCACTTGGGAAAAGTTGGGATCAGAACCCTGCATGGATTTGTTCCCGGGTTTGTTGACCGTCCAGTCTGCACACGAAATTGCGAAGTCGACATCTTTCAACTGAGCATCATACCGCCACCTCAAGAGTTGATCTTCTTCCGAACAACGTGACAAACATTCCTGAACCCTGTGGCTGGCCTTGGCACATTCGACATCAGTCCATTGGATGGTCGACACAGACTTCTGCATCAGCTGTTGAGCACTATCTTCGAGCGATCGTGCTTTCTTCACCCAAAAGTTGCCCTCATCAAAGGCTTTGAAGTCCTGAACTTCCTGACCTTCACCAGGTTGTGTCAGGGCTACATGATCTTTTCTCATGGCCGCACGCCTCTGGGAGGCTTCCTGTTGCAGCTTCCCGCGCAACTCAGCTGCTACCTCCGCCACAGTTGTGTGGTAGGTCAGCAGGGAGCCAAGCTCCCGTCGCAATAGCAGCAAAGCCTCCTGCTCAATCTCCAAAGCTTCAGCCAGGGATCTTCGAAGGCCACGGTCACGTGGAATCCGGTCCATGTGTTCCAGGCCTTCGACGCTTGCAGATTCAAACTCAGACCAGTCTAGGTTGCTTAGGATCTGCAGCCGTTCTTGACATACTTCCAAGTCCGCCCAACGAGCATTTCGAGCATGTTTGACTCTATTCTTGGAGTCTTCAATATGGACAAGATAACCTTCAAGGGAGCGAGCAGTCTCAAAAGCCTTGCTCACAGAAGAGACATTCACTTGGATCCGGGTGCGGGCTGCTTGGCATTCCTCTCGCAATTTCTGTACATGAGAGGCCTGAGACGCTCTCCTAGAGTTTCCCTTAGTGCTTTCATCCAGTGCTATCTTGGACAATGCCTTTGCCCGACGCAAAGTTGCACTGCCGGACGGGAGAGGTGCGGCAGCTGCAGGCCCTTTGTCCTCGTGGTCTCGTCCTGCCAGTCCTCCCTCTGGCTGTGCTTCAGTATCCTCAGCTGCCTCAGCCGCTTGACTCTCACCTGAAGCTTTGCTCTCGTGGCTTTCCACGGCAGTACTGGCTGCAGATGGAGATACTGGTAGCCAAAGATACTCTGGGTGGATCGAGTGAAAACTGGAAGAGTAACCACTCTCATCCAATGTCTCGGTTTGATGTTCCATGCTGACCGAGTGCTTTTCACTCGGAAGCTACTGTCAGAGGTCCTTGGGCCACAATACGCCAAAACACTCGCATTTGTTCATCATGTGCCATGTGGCACAACAGTTTTTTCCAACCCCTTTTCAACGATGCCACAAGTCTCGTCCGGCCTGAACCCACGGAAATGTCTCTCACAGCTGCACGCTGCAAGCCACTGTCCTTCAGCCACGATGAGCATGCCAGGTTTTGTTCAGGAAACTTTCTCGAGTCTTTTGAAGCGTCTAATCCAAAACCATGTCTGCTGGCTGCTGGATTGAACCGCAACAACTATACTGGCAAGATCCCCAAGCTGTGCTAAGTAGAACAAAACAAAGGTGGGCAAGTGAATTTCCACACCTTACAGCACACACATGAGAGCACACGTGCGAGAACAGTGCTCTGGCTTTAAATCTAGATGTAAGCAGGGGCGCACGGCATCCATGGCCCACCGTGTGCAACGAAGCTACGGTCATGGATGGGAAGGGAAGGCTGATCACCTTCCTGTACCTGCAGTTTGCGAATGTTCTAGCCACTCTCCACTCGTAGAGGTCCTCAGGCTGTTGCAAGACGATTCAGGTCTGCAAATGTGCGCTCGTCGACTCTCGTTTCCTTTTTCGCGCACTTTCGAGCACTTTGTGAACTTTGGGATCTTTGGGGCTCATGGCGGCTTTCCTGTTCAGACCGCATGACATACCTTTTCCAGGAAGTCTTAGGCGTTCATACCTAGTTGGGCGTGTGGCATGCGGCATTCAATTCAGTAGGCAATATCTTGAGTGTGTGCTCGCATACTTGCGTGTTCTCATACATGCCTTGTACTCCCATTGTGTGGTCTCATGTGTTGTCCACATATATACATGTTCTCATTTGTGTGCTTGTGTGCTCTCATTTTTGTCCTTTCTCATATCCGTGCTTGTCTATGGGGGTGTCACCAAAAACAACCACCAAGTCCAAAGTGCTGGGCCTGCCACGAGATCTGCACATCAAATCACAACCGCTCCGATCTCCTGCACCCGCCACGTCTCAGCTTGAGACCAGACATGAGGGGTTCTACTGCGCCTGCCGCGAAAAGTGGCCATAAATCCGAAAATGTGCACAGCGCCACAACGAGAGCAGTGTCGCCCACGCGGTGAGCACCCTCGATCAAACCCAGCTTTAACGCTCACCATAAGAATCCCAATTGTGACCACGCTGTTTGGGGAAAAACGGACTCAAAATCCACGAAGCATTCATTTTTGGTTGCTTCAGTCTTGAAACACTTCTACCCATGCCAGAAATGAGCACATATATTGCGCCTACCCCACCTCATCTCGTCAATGCTCCCCAAGCATCCCAATGCGTCCCCAAACATCCCCCAAACGTCCCCAATCCGCTCGGGTCCTCAAAAGCCCATGGAAAAGTGGAAGATGCTGAAGCTTCAGCTGCTATTGCTTCAACTCGATCCTCCAGACTGTTCAACCTCAGGATCGGGCATAAGAGGAGAACACCTTCAAGACTTTCAATCAGCATCTTGGTCGTTTGAGCACTCCAAAACAACTGGCCCAAGTTTGGAAGGAAAGAATAATGGGCCTTTCTTGCATGGCAGATGATACGGAGGCAGCAATGAGTGTTGCAGCCTACCAAAGAAAATGCAGAGCAAGACAGTTGCCACTCTTAAATCTTGCAACTAGAGGAGTTAAAACTGGTGCTTACAATGATGTCCGACTCGTATCTTCATGTTCCCTCGCATGTCATGTTGCAAACCAAAAATACATCTTCGCTTAATATAATTAATTGTGAAGCAACAATCCCATGGAAAGGATGCAAATGAGTGACTCCTGCCTCAGATAACTCAGCTCGTTGAATGGTTCCACGAGGGAGCTGCTGAACCGTCGCCTGTGAGCACCAAATGTCTCTGCCGTTCTCTCTGTTTGCCGCTCATTCTTGCGTTGTTCTACTGGGTCGCTCGGATGCCTCCAAGCGTGCAAGTCGGCTTTCCATCGCTGGAAGCAAAGCTTTGGCCAGTCTTTCTGCCAGCTCTTCTGGTGAAGACCTGGAAGACTTGGAGTCCCCGCAGACACTTGTGACACGAAAGAAAGGAACTCAGCTTCTAACTCCACCGCACGGTTCACCCGATGGATAGGGTTCTGTCCGATTTCTTGGGGCCAAAACAAACCGTCGAAACGGACAAATCATCAAACTGTCTTCTTCGGAGACTTCGGTCCTCCAGCGAAGATGGCGACCTGCCCACAAACTTGAAGCAACACACACCAAGAAAAATATCAAAGAAAACATTCCCAGACTTCCGTACTCTATGGTACTCAGACCCGTCAATTGGTGGCATTGATATGCAGAAGTCAATGGCTGAGGTCACAACACCGGCCGAAGGCCACTTGGAGCCACGAAAGCGACCTCATCTACCTGGGTCAACGTTCCCATCCAAGGGCGGGCTCACAACGTCAAAGGTCTGGGTGGGCTGCTGGGCTCGGCATCAGTGCTCTCAAGTGAAGCGGGAATCCCAAACTGCTGAAACTGGGTACGTTTTACTGTGAAAGCAAAACGTTAGGACAATACTTCAGCAACATTACAGTAATCAACATGTGAACCTATCACGTGTACATGAAATATGTGCAGTCTGCGCAGTATAATTATCATTGTGTTGTCTTCTCTCGCAAGAGCTGCTTAGTCTATATGTCCAGTTCAGGTGTTCCTTCATAAGCTGCATAAGCCCTGGCTTTGGCAGAATTCTTTTGTGTTCTTCTTGGACCAAAGGCTGGCAAACACGTAGATCCATTTTATTTGGGTCAATGTAGCAAGAAACAAGCATCCTCAATGAAAGTCCGATATGTTTGTGGTCACGTCTTGAAAAATCCTTTCCTTCGGAAAGGCCGCACGGAAAAACATATAATGCACAGTGCAGACAATGAAACTAGACGGCGAGTGGCCCGAAAGCATTTTTCATCACGTAGGAAAAGTCAAAGTGTGAGTTATCTGTTAAGTGTTCAGTGTGAAGTGTTTAAGTCGAGTGAGTTGTAGTGTGTGGGTCTGTGTGTGTGCATCTGTGTCCGTGTGTATATGAGTCTCTGTGTGTGTGTGTCCGAGTAAGTTGAGGCAATGCGTGGATCTCTCTGTGTGATATGTGTGTATGAGACCCTGTCTGTGTGTGTGTGTCCATGTCTGCTGCTGGTGAAGGTCTTCACTGTAGATATAGTGAACGAAGTAGCGCGCAGGCCTCCCAAACCCCCACCGGCGGCCAAGCGGTGACAGCCCAGCTCATCGTCGTGAGCATTTGAGCTGCTGGTAAGGGCAGAAGCAGCGTGCACGGCTGCAGGAAATCTCACTGAAAAAAACGAGCTGGAATGAATATAGAAAATTGCCGAGGCAGGTACGCAACAAGTTTGTCGAAGCAGTGACCTGTCAGAGGAGATGCGTCCATCGATATACGATCAGAGGTAACGTTTCCTTCACTCCAGGACACAGCTTTTCTAGGATGTAGTTAACCAACCACTATGCTTGTCATTGACTAAATGACTGTCTCAAAGAAAACGTGACAAAGTAGCATGAGGTGACACAAAGCAGGCACTGCAGATGTTTTCGCGCACGCGCACTCGACACGCACGATCTCCGCAGCGGGTTCTCCGCGTGTAGACCCAATCGCATTCTTGTGTTTCGCGCACTCGACACGCACGATCTCCGCCGAGGGTTCCGCGGGTACCGGTCAAATCGCACTCTCGCCTGCGTTTCGCGCACTCGCCGCGCACGATCTCCGCAGGGGGTTGCACGGGTACAGGACACATCGCACTCTCGCCCGCATTTCCCGCGCGCGACAGGCACGATCTCCGCAGAGGGCTGCGCGCGCATCACACCACTCGCACTCTCGCCCGCATTTCGCGGGCCAAATCGCACTCTCGCCTGCTTTTCGCGCACTCGACGCGCACTCGACGCGCATGATCTCCGCAGAGGGTTGCGCGGGCACAGGCCAAATCGCACTCTTGCCTGCATTTCGCGCACACGACACGCACGATCTCCGCAGAGGGTTGCGCGCGCACAGACCCAATCGCACTCTCGCCTGCATTTCGCGCACTCGACACGCACGATCTCCGCAGACGGTTGCGCGGGCACAGGTCAAATCGCACTCTCGCCTGCATTTCGCGCACTCGACACGCACGATCTCCGCAGAGGGTTGCGCGGGCAGCCGGCAAATCCCCC